ACTGATAGTGGTAGTGATGGTGGTGGGTGGAGGTGTGTGTATTGGTGGGGGTGATAGTCCTGAGCTCATGGTAGTGGGTGGCAGGTGAACAAAAGGTCTGTTCCCAGGCACGTTGGTTTGTTTGGGGTTGGGTTTTTTTGTGGGGTGGGGGCATTGAAATGGAAAGCACTGCACGTGTGTTATGGAAGTTTGAGACCGTAGGGAATTGTCTTGAGACATGAAGAGGGGAGGCTGGAAGCAGAAGGTCAGCTAGAGGAAATTTCTGTGGAGGACCAGGTTAGATTGGAGGACAAAAGAAGCATGGGGTGTTTCTGAGTTGAGAGGGATTTGTATCTATCCTGCCTTCTGCCTGACTTCAGAAACAATAAAATCGTGTTATGAATGAGAGGAGGGGTGACCTGGTAGGGAATGTGGGGAATGGAGACACAGTAGGGGGATGATAGGATAGTGCTGGCAGGAGGGAGGAAGATTAGGAGGCTCAGAGAAACTCTGTTCTCCCACCTGCCCTCACTCTTTTGCTCACAAAAGGTGCTTGCTATGGAAAAAAAAAATCCTTTCTCCCCAGCAGTTCCCTGCCAGCCCTCTTTTTTTCCCCAGCAAAAGATTTCCTTATAGCACATATCCCTCCTCCTACATCAGCTTTTCACTTTCAGGTATGAAAAACTTTCAGGGAAAGTGGAAAACTGGCAGTCTATGCTCATGTTAGGCATCACTTACCACCGGGTATTGTCCAGTGTAAATCTCCACTGAATCTGTGGGAGCTACTCCTGATTAAGAGCAGTGGAAGCAGGATCAGAATAAGACTCATGGTTTAAAGCTTTTGAATTTTTCTCCTATGCTGTTTTTCTCTGTCTACATGTCAGTCTCTGACAAGTGTTGGTTTCCACCTGGCTACTAGTTGCAATGGCAGAGAAAGGGTCAATGCTGACACCGAGCCTAAAGACTCACAATAATAACAGGAAAAGCACATTTCTTCCTAGCACCTGTGAGCTCTCCAGTGGGTATTCTATTGTTTATGGAAGTCGCGCTGGATCTTTTTCTCTTTAGAGGTTGAATGGCTGTAGCAGCCAGCTGTTCTGTTTTCTGTGCTCTTACCTTTAATGTATTCTTCACACAGTCCCAGGGGTTAGTGTTCTAGAAACAATTAGGAATAGAGAAATCATTTAAGTTGACCTGAACTGACCTCAGATCCTGTTATTAAAGTATGTAGCAAAACAGCTTCTATCACATACAAGAAAGGGATTTTGCTAGTTTTTTCCATTATTTTGTCTAGCCTGTCTGTGCTAGCTTATACCGAGCTTTTGTTCTACTCTTCTAGCACAGGATGGTATATGGATGGTATGTGGATCCTTCTTTCTATGAACACACTCTTAAAGTATATACTGGAAAAGTGTTTTATTTCTCTGTTAAGGATGGCATGATATCATCCAGGACCACCTGGGCAATAGTGATCATTGCGTGCTGGAATTCACCATCCAGCGTAGAGTGTCAAGGGCCCGCAGCAAGGTGGTAGCCCTAGACTTCAGGAGGGCCAACTTCAGTGAGATGAGGAGATTAGTGGGAGAGGAACTGGGGTCCTTGAGGGCAGAGGAACTCAGCGTCCAAGAGGAGTGGTCGTTCCTTAAGAAAACGATACTCGGGGCCCAAGGGGTGTCCATCCCGACAAGAAGCAAAGGGGGCAGGAGTGTCCGGAAGCCCCCCTGGCTCACCAAGGGTGTCCGGGAATGCCTGCTTGCCAAAAAGGCGGCGTACGCCCGGTGGAAGGGGGGTGTAATCTCCAAAGAGGAGTATACCTCCTCTGCTCGGGCCTGCAGGCGGGCTGTTAGGAAGGCCAAGGCGGATATAGAGGATAACAAAAAGTCCTTTTTCAAATATATTGGGAGGATGAAGAAGGCGCCGGGTAATGTGGGGCCCCTGCAGGATATGCGGGGCAATCTGGTGGTTGCGTTAGAGGATAAAGCGGACCTCTTTAACCAATTCTTCACCTCCGTTTTCTTGTGCAGGGACCGGGACTTCCCTGCTGTGATAGAAGCCGGACGCGAGGGGATCGAGGACCGGGTTAGAGAGCTTCTGGAGGGGCTGGACGCGTTCAAGTCAGCGGGTCCGGATGCTCTCCACCCCAGGGTGCTGAGGGAGCTGGCTGGGGTTATTGCAGGGCCCCTGGCACGGCTCTACGAGCGATCGTGGTGCTTGGGCCAGGTGCCAGACGATTGGAAGGTAGCTAATGTGGTCCCCATCTTCAAAAAAGGGAAAAGGGAGGACCCGGGCAATTATAGGCCCGTCAGTCTTACCTCAATCCTGGGGAAGCTCTTTGAGAAGATCATCAAGGAGCACATTTGTGATGGGCCGGCATCCGAGATGATGCTCAGGGGCAATCAGCATGGATTTATTAGGGGGAGATCATGTCAGACCAACCTGATTGCCTTTTATGATCAGGTCACAAAGGCCATGGACGCAGGTGTCGCGGTGGATGTAGTCTTTCTGGACTTCAGCAAGGCCTTTGACACCGTCTCTCACCCCATCCTAATTAATAAACTAGGCGACTGTGGCATAGATGCCTACACAGTCAGATGGATTGCAGATTGGCTGAAGGGTCGCACTCAGAGGGTGGTGGTGGATGGATCATATTCGACTTGGGGGGAGGTGGGTAGTGGAGTCCCTCAGGGCTCGGTCCTGGGCCCTGCGCTGTTCAATGTCTTCATCAGCGATCTTGATGTTGGGGTGGAGAGCAACCTGTTTAAATTCGCTGATGACACCAAAATTTGGGGGGAGGTGAGCACGCTAGCAGGGAGAGAGAGATTGCAGAAGGATCTGGATAGGTTACAGGGGTGGGCAGACAGGAACAGGATGCGTTTCAATACGGACAAGTGCAGGGTGCTGCACTTGGGTAGTAGGAACCAGCAGCACACTTATAAGATGGGGAGCTCCCTACTTGAGAGCACGGAGGCGGAAAGGGATCTTGGTGTCATTATTGACTCCAAGATGAACATGGGCCGACAATGCGAGGTCATGGTTGGCAGGGCTAACCGGACCTTGTCGTGCATCCACAGGTGCATCTCGAGTAGAGCCAGGGAGGTGATCCTCCCCCTCTATGCGACGCTGGTCAGGCCGCAGCTGGAGTATTGTGTCCAGTTCTGTGCGCCCCATTTCAGGAGGGATGTGGACAACATGGAGAGGGTCCAGAGGAGGGCCACCCGCATGATCCGGGGACAACAGGGCAGACCCTACAGTGAGAGACTGCGGGACTTGAACCTATTCAGCCTCCACAAGAGAAGGCTGAGGGGGGACCTGGTGACCGTCTATAAACTCACTAGGGGGAACCAGAAGGGTTTGGGGGAGACGCTGTTTCCCCTAGCCCCTGCTGGCATAACAAGGAATAATGGGCACAAGTTGATGGAGAGGAGGTACAGATTGGACATCCGAAAAAACTACTTCACAGTCAGGGCGGCTAGGAGCTGGAACCAACTTCCAAGGGAGGTGGTGCTGGCCCCTACCCTGGGGATCTTTAAGAAGAGGCTGGATACTTACCTGGCTGGACTCATTTGAGTCGAGTCCCGTTTTTGTTTTTAGGGTTTTTTGTTGTTCTCCCGCCCTGGCGGGGGGGCGGGCTAGAAGATCTATTAGGTCCCTTCCGACCCTAAAACTATGAAACTATGAAACTATATTGCAAGTGCAGAGTGGGGCTAGGGTGGTTATTCTTGGGGTGAGGGGAGGAGGAGGTTATAGACTCTGCTGTAGTCTCCTAGCAGACTCTAATGCCAGAAGTTAGTATCTTCAGACTTCTGGGTGACAACTGCCTAGTCTGAACAGTCACTATTCTAACATACTAGTTAAGCGTGTTCTCCACAATGGCATCTCCAGACACTTGACAAGGGGTGCCTTGAGCACGCAGCTGGATTAGATGTTCATGAACACCCTTCCAGCCCTATTTTTCTATGATCCTATACAGAGAGCTTACTACTGCTAACAGTGAAGAGAGTTCCTCCTCTAACTTGATGTAGACACGCTTTATAAAGATCATCGCATAGGACAGAACCAGGATTTTATTCACGAAAACACAGGGCTGTATCACATCAGTAAAAGCTGCAATTTCATTAGTAACTAGCAACAGTAGTCTGTAATCTTTATTATAGACCTACTGCCCCAAGAGACATGTAACACTTGACCAGTATGGTCCGCGGCCCTCTTGTCAAGAGAAGTTTTGTCAGAAAAATCCTGAACTGCACACTGATCCCATTTGCCTGGGAAATCACTGAGATAACAAAAACAGTACCCCCGGACCAGTGTTACAGAATCATTTTACAGAGTTCAGGTGTAGCCTATTTGCAGCCTTTGATTTGTAGTAAATCTGATTGCAGGTTTTAACAGGCTGCCTAGGTAAAAAGAAAAAAAAACCCTCCAGAAATATCAACCTGTAGAGTCTCTAAACAAAGGCGGCTAATTTAGGCACTCCTGGATGTTAGTAGTGCTTTTCATGTAGGGGCATAATCACTTTGCATTGGTATCATGCCTTACTGTTCCCATTGTTCCTGTGCTTAGTTGGAATATTCAGGGTTCCAAGAGGGAGCCTGTCCATCCTGCAGTGTAATCCTTCCCTTCCAGCTTGGGAAGGACCTGGCATTAAGCACAACTCCACAGGATCAGAGTAAAAATGACTTTTGGAGTTAACACTGGTCTGAATCATGTTTATCTCCAGCACAGAGATTTCTCAAAGATTGCTTATCAAAATCTGAAAACTGTAATGATCACCAATTTTTTCAGTCAAATAGACTGACTCAGCAGCAGCACTGCATCTGTTTCTTAAGCTGAGTAAATGTAGATATATTATCTAGGGAAGGTCAACACATGATTCATCAGCATCTGCATGCACTTCAGTGTTATGCATTTTATTATAAGGGCGGAGGATTGAGACCAAAGGATGAAAGTCTAGGTTCATCAGCTTGCAGATTGACCAAAGATGTCTTTTCTCATTAGAGCAGCCTTCTGTTTCCTCTTTTCAGTGATGGATCCTGCTGGAGAGAGGTTTCCAGTGGCACAGCTCTGATTGAAACCAGTGCAACATGTTCAGTGTCGAGGACCTCTTGATTTCTCATGGATACAAACTGACAAAAAACCCTCCTGCTTCATATGAGAACAGATATGATGGATACCGTCATGAAATTGTAGAGAACAGATCTGCTCATGGAACAGTGAATGGATTTCAGAGAGAACCTGGAGCCTGCGCTTACAACAAGAAACTGGTGGCCAAAGGTAACTTCTGCGACAGTGAAGGCTATCACAGGAACCAAGGGAGACAGGCAGGTCCTGGCTACTACCATGACTTCAAGGGTTTGTCCACTTTTCCTACTTCAGAAGGGGGGTAAGTTTCAGTGTCATGCCATTGCTTTCCTATCCTTCTGATTCTGTCGGATAACTAAGCATACATTCAACCTCTGTTACTGTCTGCCCATAATTTCTATTTCCATGCCTCTGAGAGTCTCATCTCACTGTGATTTCACTCAAATTACATGCATGTGCACGTGCCTTTTGCTAATTGTAGCAAGTGGGAGGAAAGGAGAAAGAGGGAATAGTTTCATTTATCAGCAGCACACTTTAAAAACGAGGGTGGGCATAAAGAAAAGCCCAGGATCAAAACAGAGCAAAAGAGGAAAAATCTTTGCCTCTGGAAAATTCATGGTTTTAAAACTGAACCTAGTTCCTTATTTCACACATGTGTAGTAAGTCCTGGTGGGCATCCAACTGCGTGTCACTATCTCTGTGGGTGTTCTTGCACAAAAGAGATCTTTATTTTAGGCAGTTCTCATAGAGCAAACATGAGAAGGTGCCTGTATGTTCCTAGTTAAAGCAGTCCAAACCCAGTGGAAACCCTTGTCATCACTTCATACAACCTGCTTGCCCAGCCGCACCTCCCTTAGCATAGAATACGTGCACTTTAGAGCTGGAATAAAATGGACAGGAAGGACTCTGTGTATACACAGTGTGTATTGTGTAATCATATTTTTGCAGACATTTGTATGCTAAAAATGAACAAAGGGGAGGGGCTGGGGCAGTAGACCAGCTGGCTAAATATACCGGTGTTTATCAGAAAGAGACCCCTTTCCCCTGTATAAGGGATCTTGAAACCGTTACAGTCCTGAGTTAGTAAATGGGGTCCTGTCGTAGTTTTGATGCTGTGGGGGGATAGTCTCCTCCTCTGCTGACCACCTGCACCTTCAATAATGTGGCGCAGCCATGCCTCACCCTGGCTGCTAGGCCATTCTGCCATTTCCGTCCACAAACTGTTTGGCCACAACCAACTAAGATTGCTGAAAAGAGCAAATTCATGATATGTGCAATATTAAGGAAGCAAGTCCTGTCCTGGGAATGCAAAGGATTTCTGGTCCAGATGAGGCTAAGGTGGTGAGGATCCTCAAGTTTGTTTGACCTCTTGGAAGTGAGGAGAACTGGAGAAGAAAGGAGGATGGCCTTTAAAAAATTATAGGCAGGAGCCACATGAGATGCTATTCAAAGTGAGCCTTTGCTCAGTTGGAGCTCAGTTGTTAGCGGTCAGCAGTGAAATGAAAAGAGAAGTTAGAGAGGGAACAAAATAAATGTAAACCCAGGAGGAGGACGACAGCATGAACAGAAGGGAAAATGAGAACTGTGTTTGGACTTGTAGCAGGATTCACAAAGAAAAGGAAGAAAACTGGGCTGAATACATGGAGGGCATATCAGCATTACAAGAACTGCTGTATGACAGCTCACCTGTCTGCCCCATTTGAGGTATGAATAGATTGGCTGTTATTGCTGCTGTAAAAGGGAAAGTATGGAGCTATTCTTTTTAAGTTCTTCTTGTTAAAAGTCCTTGACTGGGTTTGACTCACTATTTCTCTCCTAATCCCCTATAATATGAGGGGCAATGGGTTAGAACTGTCAAGTTTACACTCCACTATTCATTCTGGTTTTTTAAATTCCCTTTTTTATTTAAAATAGGGAACAAACTGTTGTGCTTGAAATGCCTAATTTATCTTATTTTTCACAAAAAACATTAAACAACTGTGTTTTACGTAGTGAATCCTAAGACACAGTTGCCCTATCAGAGGAAAGCTTCCAAGTCACTAGCATTCTTGGGCATGGAAAAGCATTTGTTTTAAGCTCTCATATTTTGTCTTTCTTGTAGCATCCAATGCATTTCTGCTGCATCCAGGGAGCAATTTTGAAGCCTGCGGTGTAGTTACACCATGAGAGGAATTAAGAACTTGCACTCTCCTTTCAAAATGGGAAAATTCAAACACTTTTAGAGACTAGGTTTTATTTATTTATTTATTTTCCAACTACTGGTCTGATTGACTAGGGTAGCTCATTAGGCTGGTAGCTAATAAATACTTAACCTCCCCCAACTTTTTATTGAACAACCTGTATCTCTTCTTTCCAGAATTTCTCCATCTCCTGCTCTGGAAAACATTTGATGGGTTCCACTCTGTGTGTGTGCCCTCTTATCTGTACCTTTGAAGTAGGCCTGTGTGAAGCAGCAGGTATTCACTTTGGATTCGGCCAATTTGGAAGGACAGTGATTTGATTCAGAGATTCAAATCACTGTCCCGATTTGATTCGGTCGAATCGGATCTAAAGATTTGGCAGCGCTTCAGAGATTCGGCCATAAACTAAGCAGGCAGCAGTCCTTACCATGCTGGACCCAGCTGCCTACAGCTGGTAAGTCTGTTATGGTGGCTGGGGGGGGGGGGGAGGGGGGGGCACAAGGCAGATGCAGCTTGCTCCAGGCAGAAGGGGACAAGCAGCAGTAGGGCAGAGCCCCCGCTCCCACTTCTGCTGTGCCCACATTCCATGCCCCCCCACCCCAGCTGGGCAAGTGACGGCAAGGCATAGTCTGCTGCTTGCCCGGCCAGGTTGGGCCGGGATGCAGGCCCCTGCCGCTGCTTGCCCAGCTGGGGCGAGGGGGCGGCACAGGATGCAGGTGTGACAGCAGTGGGAGTAGCAGCTCTGCCCTGCTGGTGCTTGCCCAGCTGGGGCGAGGGGGCGGCACAGGATGCAGGTGTGACAGCAGTGGGAGTAGCAGCTCTGCCCTGCTGGTGCTTGCCCAGCTGGGGCGAGGGGGCGGCACAGGATGCAGGTGTGACAGCAGTGGGAGTAGCAGCTCTGCCCTGCTGGTGCTTGCCCAGCTGGGGCGAGGGGGCGGCACAGGATGCAGGTGTGACAGCAGTGGGAGTAGCAGCTCTGCCCTGCTGGTGCTTGCCCAGCTGGGGGGGGGGGGGAGGGGGGGGCACAAGGCAGATGCAGCTTGCTCCAGGCAGAAGGGGGCAAGCGGCAGCAGGGCAGAGCCCCCGCTCCCACCACTGCTGTGCCCGCATCCTGCACCTCCCCGAGTCCTGTGCCCTGCCAGCCCGGCTGGGCAGCTTTCCCCAGCCCCAATTCCTTCCTCTCCCCTCCAGCCACCATAACAGACTTACCAGCTGGAGGCAGCTGTGTCCAGTGTGGTTGGGACTGCTGTCTGTTTAATCTATGGCCAAATCTCCGAAGCAGCACCGAATGTTTTCCGAATTGATTCGGAGGCTTCCAATTCGATTTGGATCTTTTAATTGGTCTCCCAATTCAGTTCGGGTTCAGAGATTCAGCCGTCTAATTGGGCCAAATCTCCTCTAAATCAAAGAGGCTACCAAAGTTTTGCACAGCTCTACTTAGAATGATTCTGCTTTCCCTGTTCTTGTTCCACACCCCGCTCTAATGGCCTCTGCTGGACAGTTTCTCAGGTGAATTGTGTTGCAGTGCCTAAAAGTAGGTGCCTTGCCTGCAGAGTAATCCAGGTCAATGAGAAGCACACAGATAGCAAATAGGAAATAAGGGAAGGTGTGTCTGACCTGTTCCTCTTCAGAGCCTGGCACTCTTGCCTCTACACCCCTATATACCAGCCCCAGATGCCAGGTGGGATATTAGGCACCTCCATCATCTTGGGATCCAGAATGTCCAGGGGGGAGGTGCCCATCCAGCCAGAACATCGAGCTGATGCTGACTATACTGAACTGCATGCTGTTAGTGCCACTCAGGCATTAGACATGCTTATAAGCACCTAACAAATAGGAGTTTGGCTGAATTTAGACATCTCCTGGCACTGTTATGGGTCACAGTGGTGCTTAAGTGAGAATTAGGGCAGCTTAGAGACATGGAAAAAAACCCAACCAAAAACCCAAAACAGCGCTTTACTTTAAACTTGGCGCACTTCTGTGCCAAGCTCAGTGCATGCCCACAAGAGGCAGCACGTTAGTTCATCCCTGCCCTGCAGCATCTATATAGATTGGGCGCTTTAGTGGGTCTGTTTTGGTACTTTTCTCTAATAGCTGATTGAATCAGCTTTAGCAAAAAGTGCAAAGCTCCCCTGATGCACCCGAACTATGCTGATGCCGCAGAGCTGGGCCAAACTAACGCACTGCTACTTCCGTTGAAGTGTGGTTTCTTTGGGGGGGGGGGGGGGGGGGGGGGCGGGCTGGTGGGGGGGGGGGGGGGTTCACGTCTGCAAGCAGCCAAGGTGTCCAGGTACTCGATCTGGATCACTTCTGAGTATGCTGAGAAGCCTAAACCAAATAATTGAGGGAACTTTCAGGTTCAAATGCAGGCATCTAATTAATCTGGGAATTTCTGAAGTTTAATGGCTGCTGGACCAGGGTTGCTCCAGATCACTTTGTGTGGCTTAGTTAACTAAAACCCATCAAAGCCTCATTCTGGCACCTACATGACCTATTTAGGCCCAGTTCTAAGTGATTTGTACAAGCTAATAACTTGCGTTCTGCCAGTACCTTGGGCCCCTAGGTGCCCAGCAAGGTGAATTCATTTTCAGAGGGCAGCTGCTGAACACTTACAGACCAGCATTTTGGACTGTATAGTTTTTCTTTTTGCATCAGGACAGGCAGACTTCAAAGGAGGGGTGATATTGCCAGAGATAGCAAGCATTCACAACAGAGGTTGTCGGGTCTCTTGGTAACTGATAACCAAGGATCCTGGTTTTCTGTTTAAAACTCCCAAATGCTCTGATAAAAACACCCCAAATCTATCTTGTTTTCACAATTAAAATGAAATGCCACATATATATACACACACACACACACACACAGATCGATCTCTATATCTGTATCTAGATAAATCTCTATATAGAGATATAGATATAGATATTGATATGTATCAGTTGAACACAATGTTTTATTGATACAATTTTAAAGCAATTTGGAAGCCACCCAGTGCCTCAATCATTACAATAAAATACATGCTAAATACCTATATATTTTGGCATTTGTTTTTATTTTTTTTATCATGGAAAATCAGAGCTCCCCCTTCCCCATTCGTTCACCAGGATGCAGGTCCAGCTACAGCTGTCTCCCCACTACTTTGTGGCATTGAGCAGCCCTGATACGCCAATGCCCTGCCTCTGCCCATGCTGTTTTCCCTCACTCCCAACCCACAGTCCCCCATTCCTGATAGTGCCCCTCACTCCCAACCCAGAGCTGCCCCAGCCCTGCTGGTGCCCCTCACTCCTGAGCCACAGCCCCCTGGCGCTGTCGGTGCCCCTCACTCCTGACCCACCTGTCTTTGGGTTAACCACCCGCCTCTCTCGCTTGTCATGCCTTGATGATAAATGATTACGATGATACTCAGGCAGGAGGCTGCCCATTTTGAACCCTGATGTTAAGAGGAATATCTGCAGCTCCATTCCACCCCTACACTGCGGCCCAAGCCTCACAGATGGCATCCCAGGCAGCTAAACCCAGCTGTACCCTTCACCCCCTTAGCTGTGGTCCCCTCTCTGGGACCTTCGGTCCTGTCCCTATCTCTGTCCCCATCTCAGGCCAGTCGAGATCCTGAGCCTCTTGCTCTCTGAGTATCCCTTGCAGTGGGCCCCTGGCCCTTCAACCCCGCTTTGGGCCCTGGCCCCAGCATGGACCAGTCAAGGTACCTCAGTTCAGGTCTGAGCTGCACGCCTGTCTTCGCCCTCATAACTCCACTAGAACAACTGAGCCACAGGCCTCTCCAAGCTCTTACAGGTCGGGCATTCCCCAATAAGGACTTTGTGGGGGCTGGAGGTTATTAGGTGCCCCCTACCTGACTTTCACCAGGGAGGTTTGCAATCCTAGGATTTCATAGGGCTGCCACACCACCGGCAGTCCCACCAGACCTCCCTACCCTAGCAGGGTGCAGTTTTAGGTTATGCCCAGGATCTGGGGCCTCCCATAGCCCCAGCCCATATACCTCCAAGTTGTTCCTGAGCCTCAGCTCAGCCGGGTGATGTCTCTCTCACTGCTGCCAGCAGCAAGCTGCTGCTTCACCCCATTTATAGCCTGATCTCAAAAATGGCTGCCGCAGTCAAGCACCTGGCTGTGGCCTGCTCCGGCCCTTAAAGTAGCAGGCAACAACAGTGCCCTGCCACAACCAGTTCAAGTGATCGCAAACTGGTTTAAACCTGTAACAGAACAGATGGTCAATGCACATAAACCAGTTTGAGATAAACCTAGTTGAATGTAATATCAGACTTAATTAATTTATGCTCAAACCAGTTTATGCAAAGTCTGCCCCAGACCCCTTGCTGGGTTAAGTTAAACCAGAGTCCCCCAGCATCCTGGCATACTCTCTGGACTGGGCGGGGCTCTCTGCTCCACAGCAGAGCTGGCCCCTCCCCTCTGCTCCCTGGCTGGAGCTCGGCAGAGTCTGCAGGCATCTGCCTGGCTTCACCCTGCTCCCCCCTCGCCTCCCCACTCCCTGCTAGGCAGGGATTCTGCCATCTCCTCTGCCTTACACAGACACCTCTCAACATTAGCTAGCAGACCACATGCTGGCTACGGTCCATTCTGTGGCAGATGGGTCAAAGGCAGAATCAACTGGTAGCTGGTCATGTCCCTGTGTTATTTTCTTAATGGGCTGACAAATACTGTGTTATTAATTCGCTGCTGGGTTGGTCAGAATCGGGGGGGGGGGGCCTCCCTTATCAGAGCACCCTGCCAGGGCCTGGCCACGCCCCCCCTCAGCTGAGTGCTGTAGAAGGGAAAGGAGGGCTGCTCTGGCACCCCCTGGCTTCCACCCTCAGCCACTGCAGGTGTGACCCTTCATTTCTGTGATGTCTGGACAGTTACAAACTGATTCAGCCTAGCCAGGTTAGACTAAACTGCAAAGGTTGAATCAATTCAGGCTTTTTGAATGTCTGACCCTAGCCTATGGGTTAGGCCAGACTGTAGTTAGGCCCTGAAGCAGGGTGGACCCTGCTCCACTTTAGGGTAGCGTACAGCTTACTGAGATATGCAACCTCAAACTTGTTCTTTTCCTCTTGGCTCTATGTATTTTTGTCTCTTGGCTGCCCCTGGGGCTAGCTTCAAAGGACCACTAGAGAAGGGACTAGAGCTGTATATCTGCCCAGGCAGAGCGCAGCCTTCTGGTGTATGTGCGTAAGTGGCCAAAACAGTAGTTATGTAACTGGAAGACTGCTATTTGGGTACTTACACTGAGGTAGGATTGTGCCCAAAACGTGTATCTTTAGCTGTTCTTCTATAATTTAATTGCCATGCTGGTAATGTGGCAGTAACATATGGTGTTAAGCAAAAAATGTTCTTGGCCTCATGAACATACAGTATATATATTACTGAATTTGAAATGCCTTAACATTTTATTCCTACACATATGCTTTCTGCATCCTGGTTGCTATGATGACACAATATAGAGCTTCATGTGGCATTTAGCATGGTGTTCAGAACTTTTGTTACTTATTGTAACTACAGAATATTCTTTAAACAGCTTTTTAAAAATGCAGTTGAATTCTTACTAGTTTCAGGTCAGGATTCTCTTGGCTCTAAAGCTATATAATGACTAGAAAAACACTTTAGTGCACTGAAGACTTACACTTTAAAAAAAGAAACCAACTCTTATTCCTCTTCTGTTTTCTGACAGATTCCCTCTAGGAGTCTAGATGACATTTTCCATTAGTTACTCACAAACTCAGCTTTGAAATAGCCTGGGTACTTCACTAATCTATTGTCAGTAACAGTATTGGTGTCGAGGAGAATCCCCAGTGATTTTAATTGCATACAGACTCCAGTGACTACCGTTTGTGTCTTTATCTTTAGACTCTAATCAATTATCCATTGGACCCAGCTTCTCAAGAGTAATTATGGCTTCTGTATCAGCAGATTTTTTTTAAGTCAAGATTGAATGGGATTCTAGGAGTTGTGCAATTGTTCAAGGAATGAATTCAGGGAAATCCCCTAACCTGTGTTGCAGAAGACTTGATAATAATAATGATGCCTTTTGGCCTGAGAACCTATGACTCCCTGCTTGGTGTATTTTAATAGCCACTTAGCATTTGTGTTACTTAGCAGCTTTTGTAGAGCAGAATGGGTAGCTTGCCTTTCTATTCCCCACCCCAACCCCTGTACAATTAAACTCAGTCTCTTACAACCCTTCCAATCAATAACTACTAGCAGTACTATAACATTATGAAAAAAAAAAAAAGGTAGTTGAGGTGGATTTGGCAATCTTAGAAGTCTGGCAGCATACATTCAGCTGTGCATTTCCTGATACTGAAAGATACAGTGGTTTCCAATGATTTTTATTTTTACTGTGTTAAATGTTCCAACATTGGATATATCCTGTCATATTCCATGGATTAATACAGGTTCCATTATTTACCAGGATTCCAGAAGCAAATTGTGCATTGTAATTTACATGCTGAATCTTTTATTTACATGATGTTTTAATCCATTGGATTTATAATTACACAATACGCTTTATCCCAGTTTGTTTTAAACATTAGGATTGATAGGATAACGTTCACATACATAAAAGAAAACTATTGAATAGCTCTCTGAATATGGAATGTTACTGTTTCCTTAGGAAAGTTTAATTTTATTTTTGATTTAAAACTTTTTTGTGAAAAGATTATTAGTTTTTGGCAAAACCCAAGAACAAATTGTACATATATCTCGGGCTGAGGGAAGCCGAAGAAAATTCTTAGGTTCTGTCTTCATTCTTGTCCTATTTATGTCAATTTTGATTTTTCTCTCCCATGTTCTGCTGGTGGCAGTTAGTATAATAATGGCAGTTAGATTTTTGGACACCTTATTTACAAGAACTGCAAAACTAAAGTACAGTGACAAGATTAATTTTTAATATAAAAAGCTATCAGTTTGCATTAGGAATAGCATGTAGACTATTTTGCACCAGGTTTAGAAACATAGGAAGAATCCCATAATGTCTGTTGGATTTAATTAATATATCTGGCTAAAGTAAAGTCTTTGTATTATACATTCTTTTTCACATTTCACTTATGTCTGGTGGGAATTAAGCTCCTTTTTTCAATGTTAAAAATGTTATGATCTTTTGAAGCATTTACAGTAAACATTAAATCACTATTCCAAATCTCATCAAAACTGTATTGACAGTATAATGGACACAACACCTAAATTGATATACTCCTTAAAACAAGAGGATCAAACTGGCTGATGACAACTTCCATTGCCACCCTCATGCTATAATGCAAATCCTATTTCTCGAAGAATTTACAGTGTTATCCTCTCCCTCCCACACACACAATTTTCAGTTACTGCTTTTTTCTTTACATCCAGTCCTTTTACGCTTGGCTAACCCATGAAACCCCTGTTGAAGTCAATGTGTTTTGATGTAATTGAGATCAGAAATTAGGGTGCAAAGCCTTGTCTAACAGAGTCTATAGTTTGCTGCTTATATTATGCATTCAGTAGGGCTCTACATGGATACACAATGTACAACATTGGGTACTTTGTTTTCTCACAGCTATGCATACCAATACAATAAATGTCTTGCTAACAACATGCACATACTGCTTAGGCTCTTTCACTGTTCCTTTGTTTTGTGAGAAAATGTGCATGTTAATGACCAAGAGGATTTTGAGGTCCTGTGGCTGTGAATAAATTATAGAAGCTGAGGGCAGAAACTCAGCATCTGACCCTGGTAGTAGCATTCCCTGTGAGGAAAAGAAAGAGCATTTGTATAAACTGCCTATGACACTGCATTTCTTTTGCAGGATATATGAAAAACCTCAGTTAGCATGGTCTTCTCAGCCCAAGACTGATAAAGATCTTGCCTACTGGAGAAGAAGAGGACAAGACTTTAGTGTATTGCTGGGTTATTCTGACAAAGGAGACTCTGAAATGAAAGGATTGGCACCAACCCATGGGCTGCACAGACATACTAAAGAAAGTCAGCTGGAGGTAGGTGCAGGAACAGAGTATGTGGCAAGAAGCAGTTTGCAGGACAGCTGTAAAGTGCCTGGTGATTACAAATGGCAGAGTTTAAGAATGGAAAGCTGGAAACAACCTCAAAAACTAGGAAGACAAATGTCTGATAATGACAGAGAGAAACTGCTTCAAGATCTATACTCATTTACCGTAGGAGATAATGGACTTAGTTCCCATAACAGAGGGAAATCACAATCATTGCCAAGAGTTCTTTCACCAGAGAGCCCGAGGGGTGTGGAAATGCCCTCCCTGACAAATAACAATCATTTACTTAGTGGAGCTAAAGCACCCTCTCATCCCCCAAACAGAATGACTTTGGAATCCACAAAGTACCCTGAAACTGGATGCCACTTTCTTCCTTTGGCCAAGCCCAAGTATGGCAGACCCCTGAAACCTCCATCCTATGAACTGTACCAACAAACAAGAGCCTCTACAGAAACCAGTGGCTTTCAGAACCACCAGCAAAAAGATGAAGCAGTTTCCTATTTAGCCAAAGTTAATGAGCCACGGCAAGATGTTTGCATTCAAGACTGTAACTTGGAGCCCCCAGTCTATGTACCTCCTCCATCTTACAAATCTCCACCTCAGAGAAGCATGAATCAGCATTCCCATAATGACGTGCCTAACTATGATGTGTACTTCAATAATGAACAACAGCATCCATCAGACAGGCTTGTTGTCTGTCACCAACCATCTACCAGTACATTTGAGATGGCAGGTGAACACCGCAAAGAGGAACACCTTCCTCAAGGAAGACAAAGCCATTCTAAGCGCATTGATGACTACATGAGTTCTGTTCAGTATATTCCTTTTGATGATCCTCGAATACGGCATATTAAAATAGCACACCCAGAGAGTCTCCAGGACAATGCTAAACACACCAAAAATATACATAGGGCCAGTCCCAGTACTTTGCAGGAGGGACCTCTCAAAGTACAATATGATAGTGCCTTTTTGGAAACCTCAGACTTATCAAATGCTGTAAAGGGTGAAAGAACATCAGACGGCTCCATCCATAACAGCAAGTGGTTGGCAGCATCCTTTAAAGATCAGGAAAATTGTGCCTTGCCTGACCAAAGAGACAGTTATACTACAAGTAATCACATTCCCAATAATGAAACGAATAAGGAATACACAAAAGGCAAACTTTCTGTAGGAAACCAGCATATGGATAACACCTGTGAGACTGTTACTAAAGTTAAAAAGTTTGAACCTGGAACTGGGGTGCAAAGCAAAAGGAGTTCAAAGAAAAAAATGAATGAAACTATATTTTGCTTGGTCTCTATCCCAGTTAAATCTGAATCAAATTTGCCAGATACAGATAGGAACAACAACTTAACAGACAGCCCTGATAAGAACGGGTTTGATAACAATGGGGCCTTGCAAGAACAAAGTCTATTAAGCATGTCTTCAACTGACTTGGAGTTACAAGCTCTCACAGGAAGCATGACCAATAAAAATGAGTTACAAAAACAAGAGCTGTGGAGACCAGAGGAGTTCAAACAAATGAATGACCTCAGATTTATTCAGCCTACAAAACACAGGGAACTCAAATACTCTGGCTCTTGGCCAGGTGATCAGTACAAAGACCAGCAGACACAGACCAATTTCACTGAAGGAACTAAAAGCCCTCAATTTTTCCATGGCACAAAGCCTGGTGAACCAAATAATAAGTTGACGACTCCAAAATTCTTAGGAAGTGTGGCATCTGTAACAGGGTTAAAACAGGCAGAGTTGCCTCCGGATGATAGAAAATGTAGGCAGAATGCATACAACATAAAAGGCCAAATGTACCTCAGTCCATCCAGCAATAGTGCATTTTCAAGGACTGCCACCTCAGTAATTCAGGTTCCTTCACCAAAGGCATGCCAGAACCAGCCATGTGGGTCCTTCACAACCATGGCTGGACAAGAGAGGGAAGCTAGCACAAGTTTCAAAGGTGATTTGGTCAAGGGAGAAGCAAGTGCTCCCTGCAACAGTAGGGAGCTGTTTGGTCAGTTTCTCTTGAAACCTGTAAGTCGCCGTCCCTGGGATGCAATAAGTGAGTTAGAAAGTTTTAACAAGGAGCTTCAAGGACAGGAAGAGAGCACTAGTAGTGAAGATGGTGTGGAGAATGAGGAGAAGACACAGCAGGACACCATTCCTGAAAAGATGGGGACTTCACCAACTCATGAATTGGGCCAGGAAGTGAGACCTGGTAAGCAGCTAAAAACAGTTGTGCCAGAGGTTCCAATATTTAAACCAGGAAGAGTCAAAAGTAAGTCTGAAAGTTGGAGTACAGGGACTGAGTGGGGGGATCAGCATGCCCATGTTGGATCACAATGCTCCTTGCATCCAAAAGAAATCAGTAAATTAGTCAGGCCAGCAGATGGAAGTGTCATAACAGAAACAAGAAATAATGAAGCCAGAAGTAAAACAAACCAACAGTTTGGTCGTGCAGGCCTTGTCAGGAGAGCTCTGTCCAGTTATGCAAGCCAGAGTAATCCTTTCAATCATGCTGACTCAGAGGAGGTGAATGAAGATAGAACTTACACAGATTTTGTAAAACTAGACAAAAGTGCAGTTCTCAGAAGCAATAACGCTTTAGAGAAAGGTGCTACAGTACGATTGTCCTTAACTAATAGAAATCAAGGTCACTCTGAGCCAGATTTAAGGTCTGTGGGACTTGACATCAGCTCTGAGCCTTGTATTAACAAATTTGAATTTTCTTCAGCTGAAAATGCAGCAGAGATTCCTCAAAATGAGTCTCTGCAGGCAAGAGCAGCAAGAATCCTGGGTATAGAGGTAGCAGTGGAGTCTCTTATTTCCAGCGACAGAGCTGGGCTCCACCAACCCACCAGCTCTGAAAATGGTGTCCATGACTTTGAATTACCAATAGGGAGAACTTTAGATGATACAGTAGAAACAAAAGATAGCTCCTATGAGAGCAGGCGAAAGTGTGGTTGGACAAAAAGCTCTCTCTTTGTTGGAGATAGGGACCCCTCTTTGTGCACATATCAGAGCATTGACCAAGAAGCCAGTTCTAAAATGCTGATAACTGAGCCGAGCTTTGAACAGTACAAAAGTGTTGAACAAGATGCGGATCAAAACCTGCCTTGCAAATCTGTTGCTTATCAGCTTGCTGAAAGAAACATGATTATCCCAAGCTCAGAAAAGAAAGTCAGAAGCACATCTAAGGTGATCGAGACATTACAAGGCAAACTAACTTCTCCCCCTAGCCGAACCGTCATGGATCGTTTGGTGCGAATGAAAGAAGTTGACTCAGTTTCCCGTATGAGGCGTCTGAGCATCAAAAGCGCAGATTCAGGAGAAGACATGGATGAGGAGAAACAATCCAGGTTACAAGAGGAACGAGGGAGCAAAATGGTGACCACAGGTGCTGTTTCCAAATGCGTTATCTCTCTCAATGAAAATGGACACTTAACTGCAGCAGGCAAGAAGATTGACAAAGATTTTTGTTTCGGTAAGGCCCAATTTTGCCATATCTGACATTCAGGAGGGGAGGGAGGGGGGGACAGTGCTTTAATAGGGATGGTGCATTTTTTTTCCTGTGATATCCTCCAAGGAAGATGTATTCCAGAAACTGCTATGTACTGTATCCCATTGTATAGTAATTTAATAGGTTAAAAACATATCCACAGTGAAACAAACTTTTTTCTCTCCAGTGAACGTTATTCTTTACATTAGGGGTGTCAAAAATGTGGCCTGCAGGCCAGATCCAGCCCATGGAGCCCTATCATCCAGCCTGCAGTGCTGTGTACAGCATGCACCAGCCCCCACCTCTGCCCTGGTCCCAGCACCAAGTGCTCCATGTGTCACTTAGAGAGCATGCCAGTCTAGCATGCACAATGTACAGGGTGGGAGCTGGTCTGTGGCATGTGCTACATGTGGTGCGCAGGGCTGGTCTGGGGCCCAGAGCTGGGCCAGGGAGCACACTACTTGCTGCACCCAACATGCGGGGTTGGTCTGTGGGCCTGGTCCATGCAACCTGATAAGTAGTTGCTCTACATTATTACTATCGCTTGGCTTCTGGTTTCCTATGCTCATTCATTAAGTTTTAGAAAAAAGGAAAATACTCAAGTCTTTGCCTTTATCTAACGGTTTCAGAAGACTGCTTATTTAAAAAACAAAGTAGATGTTCACTATAGCTGCTGTTCTTGTTTGTTCCCAAACATGGCACAGTTTAATCATAGGGTTTCCTTGAACGCGTAGGTTTTTCTTCTGTAATTATTAGGTAGCACCACACTTAGAGCAGGGTTCTAAAGAAACAAAAAACAGATATATAGGACATCTATACATGTGCTCTGGGGTATGGGGTGGGGGGCATTTTGATTAGAGCAGCTCTCGGGAGCCCCTCTAATCAAAATGCCTGCAGTGACTTGTATATTCAGCGTCCTGCACTTCAAAATGGTGGCAGGGGCACTTTAGCTTTACCCATTACCATTTTGAAATGCAAGGACGCTGAACACACATGGGCGAAGCTGCTGGAGCATTCTAGTGGCCACTCCAGCAGACTTGATTACTGACTCCAATTAAAACGCTTTGGAGTAGGCGTCCTGCATGCGTACAGCCACCCATAATGATGTTCCACTATGAAGCCCCCAGGAAAGAGTTAGCTATTCAGCTTGGAAAACGGTTTGTCTCATTACTATATTTCCAGACCAAATGTTTAAAGTAACTGAGATTTCCCAGGGGTTTAGGTTGTAGCCGTGTTGGTCTAAGGACATAGGCAGACAAAGTTCCTTGGGTGAATTTGATATCTTTTATTAGACCAACCCAAATAGTTGGAGAATAGTTATTAAGCAAGCTTTCGGGTTCAAAAACCCTTCGTCAGGCTCAGGAAGCTGCAGCAGTTGGTGTGTGCTCTTCCTGGATGGAATGAAAAGTAAAGAAGCCAGGGGCTGGGCTGGGCTGGGGAGTCAGTTGCCAGGCAGATTATAATGTATCAAAAATCCAATGTCTATGTTTAGTCCCTGATCTCTAGTCTCCAGGGGGTTGATGAAATGGAGCTCATAGGCTCGTCTCTGGGAAGTGTTGTGTAAGTTTCCCTTGAGGATCAGGACTGAGAGATTGGAGAGAGAGTGGCCCTCCTGTGAGAAATGTGCCCCCACCGGTAATTGGGTGTTTCTGTCTTTGATAGATTTCTGGTGTGCGTTCGTTCTGGTGCGCAGTTGTTGTTTGGTCTCTCCTACGTATTTTCCATCAGGGCATTTGGTGCATTGGATGAGGTATATTACATTTCTGGAGGTGCAGCTGTAAGATCCTGGGATGCTGATGGCTCTGTTGTGGGGTGTAGTAATAGTGGAGGTGGTGGAGATGTGGGGGCAGGTTTTGCATTTCTTGTCCTGGCACAGTCTGGATCCTTTTGGTGTGTTCTGGGCTTGA